TCGCCTCGTATCCCTACTCAAAACCACACCAGCAACAATCACGCCCTTCCCTGTAATGGTCGGAAATGGCCAACACCTAGAGTGTAACAGCTTTTTCCCAAATGTGCCACTAGAACTCAATAAGACTACCTTTTCAGTTCCTTTATTTGTCCTCCCTGTTGAAGGAGCAGACGTCATATTGGGTGTCGCTTGGCTTAGTACATTGGGACCACTGGTTGCAGACTTCTCCATTCCCCAACTCTCATTCACCATCAACAATCACCCATTCATCCTACGTGGTGAACCTCTTACATCACCCGTGTCACCTAGCTCACTACACACTCTGATTCGCAAAAATTCAGTTGCTTCAATTCACACTCTCATCTGTCACCATCAACAACCAGCAACCATTCATCCAAACCGACAACCACATCCTAACACCACCATCGAAGCCCTACTACACCAATACCAAAAACTCTTCGACCCACCTCACGAGTTGCCACCCACACGTCAACATGATCACCATATTCCACTATTCCCAAACACCAAACCTATTAACGTCAAACCATACCGTTACCCCCATTACCAAAAAGAAATTATGACCAACCTCATATCTGACATGCTTGATAGTGGCGTAATTCAACCAAGCCAAAGCCCATACTCTTCACCAGTCCTACTAGTTCAAAAAAAAAAGATGGCACATGGCGTTTCTGTGTCGATTATCGGGCACTCAATGCAGTCACAGTTCGTGACCGATTCCCGATCCCAACTGTCGATGAACTCTTGGATGAACTTCACGGGGCTAACATATTCTCAAAAATTGATCTTAGGGCCGGCTATCATCAAATCCGTGTCTCTCCAGCAGATATACACAAAACGACATTTCGCACAATTGACGGTCACTATGAATTTCGCGTTATGCCATTCGGCCTAACAAACGCCCCATCAACATTTCAAGCAGCCATGAATGATCTCTTTCGTGCAGTCTTACGTAAGTTTGTCCTAGTTTTTTTCGATGACATATTGGTGTATAGCCCTTCCATGGATAAACACTGTGAGCATCTACAGTTCGTCTTTCATACACTGTTGACCAACAAGTACCACGCCAAAGAATCCAAATGTGTTTTTGCCACCGTTGAGATACCCTTTTTGGGTCACATTATCTCAGCTAAAGGTGTTAATGCAGACCCAGAAAAACTTGACACAATCCAAGCCTGGCCCACCCCCACATCCTTTACAACCTAACGAGCCTTTTTGGGCCTAACAGGCTATTATCGGCGTTTTGTTCAATCATATGCCCATATTGCCTCACCCCTCACAGACATACTAAAAAATCCCACCTTTATTTGGAACGAGCAACACCAGAAAGCCTTCACACAATTAAAAGAATCCATGACCCATCTTCTTACCCTAGCACTCCCCAACTTCAACGAACCGTTCGACCTCACCACTGACGCTTCCGGAGTCGCCATCGGTGCTGTGTTATCACAACAAGATCAACCAATCTCGTTCTTCAGCAAAAAGCTCTGTGATCGCATGCAAAACAGTTCTACTTATGTTCGAGAACTTTATGCGATAACCGAATCCATAAAAAAATGGCGTCAATACCTCTTGGGCCGCAGATTTCGAGTTTATACCGATCATCACAGCCTAAAACACCTATTAACACAGACCATCCACACACCAGACCAACACAAATGGCTCACCAAGCTTCTCGGGTATGATTTTGAGTTACACTACAAACCCGGAAAAGAAAACAAAGTCGCAGACGCACTTAGCAGAATCGAAAAACCTCACCTGTTAGCACTATCCTCACCAACAGCTACATGGCTCGATGAGTTACGATCCTACTTTTCCAACCATCCAGAAGGACAGAGACTGTTAGCACAACTGGAGCACAATCCCTCTTCACTACCTCACCATACAGTTCAAAACGGCTTGGTTTACATCCAAGGTCGTTTATTTATACCTAACGTACCACATATTCGTTCTATTCTTTTGCAGGAATTCCATACATCTACACTAGGAGGTCACGCCGGAATCCAAGCTACTTTCAGACGTCTTGCAGCTTCCTTCTCATGGTCCAAACTCAAACAAGAAGTCACAGAATTCATTCGGAGATGCACCAATTGTCAGGCCACCAAGACGCCCACACACAAACCATACGGCCTCCTTCAAGCATTACCCATTCCCACCCATACATGGGAAGATATAACCATGGACTTTATCACCCACTTACCGCCATCTAATGGTAAAACCGCCATTTGGGTTCTAGTTGATCGGCTCTCAAAGTTTGCCCATTTTATCGCTTTACCTAATCACTTCACATCTATATCACTCGCAACAATCTTCCTCCGAGAAATCTACCGTATCCATGGCCTCCCCAAGACAATTATCTCAGATAGAGATCCACTCTTTCTAAGCCAATTTTGGACTCAACTCTTCAAACAACTAGGCACCAAACTGAAACACTCGAGTGCCTACCACCCGCAAACCGACGGACAAACTGAAGTGGTCAACAGATGCCTCGAATCCTACCTCTGTGCTTTCACCTACGATGAACCCCGCTCTTGGCAACGATTCCTCTACCTTGCAGAGTTTTGGTATAATACGAGTTTTCATTCATCCATCCAAATGACCCCCTTTAAAGCCATGTATGGAAGGGATGCCACTACAATTCACGACTACACACCGGGGATGAATCGTACAGCCTCTATCGACAACTCACTGTTAGAACACCAACGCATCATCGATCTTCTCAAGGTCAATCTCAGCCAAACCCGCACCAGAATGATCAAACAGGCAAACAAGAAACGTCAAGACAAGCAATTTTCAGTTGGAGAATTGGTTTATCTTCGCTTACGAAACTATCGTCAACACTCAGTAGTCTCGCGAGAAAATCAAAAGCTATCCAAACGATATTTTGGACCCTACAAAATACTCGAACGAATCGGTCCAGTGGCGTATCGACTACAATTACCAGAAACTTCCAAAGTACACCCAGTTTTCCATGTGTCTCTATTGAAAACCGCTCACACCACAGAAGTCTCACACGAGTTTCCAACTGAATGGATCAACGATCTCCAAGCCACAACAACAACTCCAGCACAGGTCATTAATCAACGCCAGCTCTAGTCAGGGATTCAACAAGTACTCATTAAATGGACCGACAAAGATATTTCTGAAGCCACATGGGAAGACGCAGAAGAGATCAAACTCAGGTTCTCGGATTTTCCTACTGGACTCGAGGACGAGTCCAATTTGGAGAATGGGGGTATTGATACAGCCCATTCAGCAGCCCAAGAACAGGCCCGACTGGAAGACCCACAAGCTACTAGTCGACCTAGAAGGATCATCAAGAAACCCAGCAGATACTTGGAAGAACTATGAGCTTTTACTCGGTCAACTAGTCACATAGGATTCTCTTTAATTCCACACATGTTGCATGCATTCCTAAGATGTTGGGTTCCACTATACACCCACGTCCCTAGATATTAGTAGCATTAGTTCAATCATTTTTTATTTAAGCACTGTAAGTTCATATAAAAAGAAAACACAGAAAATTGCTCCAGTCTTGCTTCTCTCTCTACATTCTCTGGAGGTTAACCACCTCGAATTAGGTTTTATCATCATATGTGATTTTTTTTTTGTTTATATTTTATGCGAGAATTTTTTTTGTGTTATCCTTATAAAATTTTCTGGTTCTACCTGTATTACTTGGATAATGCCGTTAAAATTTTAATTTTAATTTTTAAAGAAAAAAAGCCATTAACTGCGCGCCTGGATTTCACGAGAAGTGTGCATGAGTCAGCGCCTCGGATCCTCTTACAGTTTACAGCTGTGCACCCGACCCAATTTCCAACATTCAAAAAGCATACACTGGGCGCCAGCTGGGAAGAGTTAGAATTACTCTTCCTCCCCCAAATTTCAAATTTATCCACAATACCCACATTCAATTATTCATATCACTATCAAAAATTCAAAATATCATCCACACACATTTTCGTCTTTTGTTTTTTTCCCAATTCTTCAAAAAGTCTGCATCTTTGCCCTTCAGTTCATAATTTAAACGCTTTTTTTTTTCTTATCGTATTTGATTATCTCTTGTTTAAAAAAACCGTAAACTAAAATGTTCAATTTAACCCATAGATGGAATGATATTAGAAACTTTTTTGAATAGTTCACCAATAAAAACCTAATACATACAATAATTAGTTGATAATATCAAATAAAGTGAATCCAAAATCTTTCTTCTTATAATCAATAGATAATATCACACTTGTTGGTAAACCAACTACGGAGTAGAGCAAATGGAATAGAAAAGATACATGTATCTCTAGTTTACTATTATTTATGTACATTCTAATATTGTATTTTAAAAGGATAGTCATAAATTTTATCAAAATTGTATGATGTATGTAATAATCTGACCAAATGTTTCTCATAATGATTATATTTCTTAATATTGGTTTTGCAAACTGCAAATTCGTTTTGTGAATGCACGTCTAAAATGATCGGTTAACCTAATTATCGTTTTTATTTATACCTTTACAATATCATACATATCTATACTAACTTTTTTATTTAATAAAACAAAGTATTGTTAAAACCCATCTCCCATTTTAAACTTCTTCAATTATGAATTTGTTTGTAAATAGTTATTAATTTTAGTTTAAAAGACTGAATAATAGGTTAAAATAGTTGCATGCATCTAATTATCTATATATACATAAATATTAATTTAAAAGAGCGTGAATATTTGAATTTTGCATCCATTAATAACTACAAACCCGTGTGGGACTGGGAACAAGTTACAGCTGTAGGTTCTTCTTGCCTGCTAAGCAAAAGGCTTTTCTTTATTATTTTTGTTCTAACAAACAACCTAAAATTTAAAAATAATTTATTTGTTTACACTATAAATATCCCATTTTCACCATCGTCTCAATACTCACTACTCACTTCCTCGCTCTACCTTTCCCATCTTTTCAATCCTTCCTCCTCTCTCTAAAACCTTCACAAAAATGGCGAATGCTCGTCGTCTGGTTCAACTTCTCTTCGTTGTCTCCATCTTCCACGTCTCCTTTGCTGGGAGACAACTCACTGAGTTAGTCAGCGACGCGTCTAACCTTTTGCAATACCACAACGGTGCTCTTCTCACCGGAGATATCTCCGTCAATTTCATCTGGTACGGCAACTTCAAACCGTCGCAGAAAGCCATCGTCTCCGATTTCATCACCTCACTCTCCTCCGGATCCGGAGTTTCTCCAAAATCTCAGATCGAACCATCCGTCGCCACGTGGTGGAAGACCACCGAGAAATATCAGATGAAATCAAAAAAGCAACGTTCACTTACACTCCGACTCGGTAAACAAATATCCGACCCGGCTTATTCTCTTGGAAAGTCGTTAACGGACGAGCATCTGGTTCAGTTAGCTTCCAAAGGGGAATTAAGGAACGCTGTTAACGTTCGTGTTAACGGCATCCGACGTGGCAGTTGATGGGTTTTGCTCCAGCAGATGCGGGACCCACGGATCCTCGTCATCATCTTCGAAGATTCCCAATGGGAAAGGAAAGAATAACAAATTTGCGTACATCTGGGTTGGAAACTCGGAGACTCAGTGTGCGGGTCAATGCGCGTGGCCATTCCACCAGCCGATCTACGGACCACAGGCTGCACCGCTGGTGGCACCTAACAACGATGTCGGTCTCGACGGAATGGTCATTAATTTGGCCGGTTTGTTGGCGGCTACAGCCACCAACCCATTTGGAAACGGGTATTATCAGGGGGATGCAAGTGCACCGTTAGAAGCTGCATCCGCATGTCCTGGTGTGTATGCTAAAGGAGCTTATCCTGGGTACGCAGGGGATTTGTTGGTGGACTCGACAACAGGTGCAAGTTATAATGCACATGGTACAAACGGCAGAAAATACCTGCTTCCAGCCTTATACGATCCATCGTCCTCAACTTGTTCCACATTGGTTTAATTAAAACTCAAAAGTCATATTAGAGCATAGCGACTAGTCGAGAGAGAGAGAAAAAAAATAGAATTATTGTAAAATCATAAATTCATTTATTTATTTTATTTATTATTATTATTAATGGACACTGAATTCTAGTATTTGCTTTTGGCCTATTTTTTAATTAACGTTTCTGATGCACGAATTAAGATAATATGGTTAATTAACAATTGAAGGTCTCTCTTTTAAATTCTGTAGTGCAAAACTGATTTGTGTTGGACTTAAAAACTGACGTGTTGAATTCAACATTGTCTACGGATTGAAGCCTGGCCTGGCCCAAAAAAGTCTTGGTGAAACCTGGTTTTAAAATTTTGAAATTTATGTCGACACATATTGTTTCGAACACATTTAGTTATGGGAAATTCGTAAAAAAGTCTATTTATTTTGGTTTTATTAATAAAAAAAAAAATCATTTTTTGAAATCAATAAATATTTATAAAATTATCCTCTTAACTAGTTAGTATTGGTTTTAAGGTTTAAATTAAAAAAAAAAAAAACCTTGAATAATTTTTTTGTTAATAGGATTAAAGTTCAATGATTTTTCTGAAGATTTTTTTTATATATACTATTTTTTTTAAAGAAAATATATATTTATTTATTAAAAACTTAAAATAATAATAATTTTTTTTATTAAAAACATAATAATGATTATTATTTTTGGATTTTTTGTGTGTCTCTCTAACAAATATCGTTATTATAATCATAAAAATATCATTTATATCCAAAATAACTTAAACATCTTCGGGTTTGGGGAGTGAAATTTTCACCGTGGGACATACTGCTTTAAAATCTGTCTAATGAAAAATGACAGATGAGAGAACGTGCATGAAAAATCAACAAATGTTTATACCGTTCGTATTTGACACTTTGCGTTTTCTTGCGACAGATGTTGTAGACCTCCTCAATAGAATCCAATATGTTATGCAGAGTAATGTTTCGTTATTTGAAAAGGGGTTGTAGCACAACTTGTTGTTCGTTACCATCTACGTCTATGTAAACGATTATTTGAAAAGATATTTGTGGTTGTTATGGTTTCTAGAAACTTGCTAAAATCTACACTAAGTGGTTATAATAATATTTTTTTCATTATTTATAAACACGATAGAAGGGTTTAATGATAATATATATATATATATATATATATATATATATATATATATATATATATATATATATATATATATATATATATATGCTTAGGTTATTTTGTTTTTACTAACTATTGTGTGTCACAATGCATAAATTTGGATACCGGATGAAATAGAATCAAAGATCATGATTTGAGGGTTTATGATATTACAATAGGGTAACATTTACCATATAATCACACAAATTCCAACATAAGGGCACTTTAGTCAATTACCGTATAATAAAAAAGGAAATTTTCGGATTTTTAGGGATAATTAATTCCTTTATTTTTTAAAATCTGAATATTTTAAATTAATTCAAATTTAAAAATCCAATTTTATTCTGTTAGAATGTCAAACATTAATTAGTAAATATATTTTCGATTTTATTCTTGCGGAATATATTTCCAATGCATATATTTTTTATAAACCTGATTTAATAATTCAACACATATTCTTCATATACATTAGAACGTGAATACAAAATCATACATATTCTTACAAACTAATAGTCTTATACAATTTAATATAGTTATATATATTTTAACGGAATATCATAAAAAATGAATAAAAATATTAAGAAATAACATTCTAAAATATACAATTATTAAGCAAATACATATGATCTTCATCAATGGTCCAAATAATGCACTTGATTAAAATTATGATGAAAATGTGATATATTATCATAAGAATGTAATTCTTCCTAAAATATATTTGTTGTTGAACTCGATTCCAAATCTTTCTGTTGTATGATCAATATTGAATTCCTTCTTTAAGCTATTCTGAAAGAATAAGATGTATTATTCGTTAGTATTATTAGTGAAGCTAATGTACTTGTTTTTAATAAACATTCTTAAAGACATTCTAACAGAATGCATTTATACAAATAAATTCTGAGAGAATATAAACATTACTTATTTAATAGAAACTATATAATAGAGGATGATAGCATATTCTAACAGAATGTATTACATTTTTCCTATCTTGCAATGTTTTTTACTTTTCCTGTCTTGACAAATAAGGAGATTGAAATCAGATTATATCAGAATAATAGATATTCTAAGAGTTTTGACAGAATACATACCACATGACCAAATTCTAACATAATGTATTTCATTTTTCCTATCTTGCAATGTTTTTTACTTTTCCTATCTTGACAAATAAGGAGAGATTGAAATCAAATTCTGTTAGAATAATAGACATTCTAAGAGTTTTGACAGAATACATTCTCTTTTAGGTATTTCCACAAACAACTTTAGTGCAACATATATTGATAATAGAGAATCAAAGCTCAAAGTATAAAAAAACAAACATCCAACAAGTGAAGATTTCTATGTACTGTGAGTGTGACTTGGTTTTCAATCACAAATAAAGAAAAAAACAAAATCTAAATTAAACAACACCAATTGAAGAATCATTTGACAATCCATCTAAAGTGACAAAGAGGAACAGATAATAGTTGTGTGTATGAAAAATGAAAGAGATATACCTGAAGAGCTTGAAGGGTAGAGAACTTGAAATCGATTTTTTCGCTTGATTTAAAATCAACATACGATGTTGAAGAGGAATTGCGCTTGTGAAACCTATTCATCATCTCCTTCATTCTGATTATCAGCCAATCTTCAGAATCGTTTGAACTTAGAATCTTCATAATCAGATGATGATTTTAGGGTTTATTGTGGCTGTGGTGGTCGTGGTGTCCGATGACTATCGTGTTTTAGGTTTGGATTGTGAAGAAGCGGAGCAGAAGATGAAGACAAGTCGTTTTTCCTCTTTTTATTTTGGTGATTTTAAAATCAAATCCCTATTTATCTCAATTACCATAAATTTAGAGTCATGATTTACTAACGTACCCTTATTAATTTATTTAATGATTAAATTATTCCTAAATTCATATTGGTGTATTCATGCACACAATAATTTCTAGAAACATTTGAACCTAGCTCTTTCTCTCTCTCTCTCTCTCTATCTATATATATATATATATATATATATATATATATATATATTCAAATAGTTAAATATATACACTTAACAAAATATATTATCCTTGTTAGTTATATGTAAATTGAGTATGTTGTATATTAGTTTAGTCAATATTTTGTTTCTAGAAATAAGGTTTGACTCCTTTGTGTTAAACACAATTTATGCCTCTATATTTTGTATATATTAACTGAAATGAGATTGGAAATCTTGAGGAAAATATTTTATTATGGTATCAGAAGTCTAGGGTTATCTCACGCTCCATCTCCATATCTTATCTTTTGCAAGTTCCCTAGCATTCTTCTTCTGATTTTTCTTATCGCCATGTCTAATAACAAAACCTCCTTTCATCTGGCTCTTTCAGTGTCCAACATCCGCAACCATATATCCATCATTCTTGAAATTGAGAATGTTCAATATTCAACATGGGCTGAAGTATTGAAGATCAATGCACGATCTCATAAGGTCCTTCATCATATTATTCCTCCTCCAAATATTAAGGTCGCAACTACTGTGGAAGAAAAAGAATTATGATCCACTATTGATGCAACAATTCTCTCATGGATTCATGCTACTATCTCTAATGATCTCTTCCACACCATTATTCACCCAAATGCTACAACCATGGAAGCTTAGAATAGGCTACAAAACATATTCCAAGTCAACAAGATTTTCAGTGTGGTTACCCTTTAAGCTGAGTTCTCCAATACCATAATGGAGAATTTTCCTAATGTTCCAGCTTACTGCCAATACCTCAAGTCTCTTGTCGATCAACTAAAGAATGTTGGTGCTCCTGTATCAGAAAGTCACCTTGTCATCGAAATGGTTTTGGGTCTCCCCAGAGCTTATAGAGGTAACGAAACTATGATCAGACAAAGTGATCCTTTGCCTCTCTTCTGGCAAGCTCGCTCTATGTTAACTCTTTAGGAAGCGGGTTTTGCTAAGGAGGTTGCTACATGTCGGATTCTTCCATGGTCAGATTCTTACAATCATAGGATTCCTTTGTTCCCAAGTCCAACTCAGATTACCCGTATAACAGGGGGAAGCAATCTAGAAATTGGAGAACTAGTCGAAAATCAAGCAATGATGGAGGTTGTGGTTTCGGTATGGGTCAAGGCAGTAGTGGTGGAAGTCGTGGAAGTACACAATAGTAGCAACATGGGATGACACCTTGGAATTCACAACACCATTAGGGATATAGTCCTTGGGGTTGATTTCCTCAATAGGTTTTCCACCTTGCCCATATCCAACACAAGGGTGGGCTCGTGATCTAGTACATACCAAACAGTAGCAGGCTGGTGTTCTTGGACCTTATCCACTACACCATCAAGCTATCGTAGCTTCACAAAATGAGGAGTCCACAACCTATGCTCCAATAGATATTGTAGTAGCTATGCACATTATGTCTATATATCCACCCGGTTCAACGTGATACATGGACACCGGCGCAACATTCCACATGACGTATTCTAATGGTAATTTCGCGTCTTATTTTAATTTGAGCAATCATCATAAAGGAATTATTGTAGGAAATGATCATACTATTCCAATTCGTGGTTACGATCACACTTCATTACCCAATCCTAATCTTCCTTTATCCTTGAAAAAAGTTCTACACGTTCCCGCAACTATTAAAAATTCTATTTTAGTTCAGAAATTTACTTCTAACAATTTTTTAACTGTTGAATTTGATCCATTTAGGTTTTCTATGAAGGATTTTCAAACAGGGAGACGAATAACGAGATGTGATAGTCAGGGTGACCTTTATCCTCTTACTACTTCTAAAAAGAATCAAGCTCTACCTTCCATATTTACAACCATCTCTCCTTCTCTATGGCATGACTGTTTAGGTAA